GTTGTGTGTTTAGTGAGACTTAAAATGCTGTATTAAGACACTACAGCTTCAGTTTGTAACTGTGAGGCATAATAATTCCCCTCAGAAATCCTTCACTAAACATTTTTTATCAGTGTTCACTGAACAAATATTTACTTTGAGTCTCTGCCCCATGCCAGGCAATATTCTCCATCAAGGGATACTTCAGTGAGCAAAACTGGCCAGAATCATTTTGTGTACATTTAGTGTGTATGTCTGAGACACTGTAATTGACTTCTCACCATTCTCATGCACAGACACTAGCTGGGTATGAGGAACTGACAGCAGCTCCTTAATTATGTCCTAAGACCATGAAAATGTTGCTTTATATGCCAAATATTTTTATGCATGTTGTTGTATCAGATGTTCAGATGGTCAAATTGTCCATAAGTACTTTACAAGACAGAGGCTGTGTGTGTGTGTGTGTGTGTGTGTGTGTGTGTGTGTGTGTGTGTGTGTTTAGAGAGAGAGGGAGACAGAAACAGAGAAAGAGAGAGAAAAGAAGAGACAGAAATGAAAGAGACAGACACAGACATAAAGTGGTGTAAAGCAGCTCTACACCAAGGAGTGTCAACTGTAAAAGGAGTTCTTAATTGGTCTAAATAATAAAAACCTGGTGTCAGATACAGATGAAAATGCTGAGAGATCACAGAGAAGGAGTAAGTCAAAGCCACCTATTACCTCCTTGGCTTTTCAGGGGACATGAGAGCGAGTTCTTGTTTCTTCCTGCTTATATCCTCTCTCTGCCTATCCATCTCATTTCCTGTCTGTGCCCAGCCAGCTCACTTCCTGTTTCTGCCAATTAATCTCACTTCCTATCTGTCTATGCAGACCTCCAGACTTCTATGGTTAGCTAGTGGCAAACTCCATCCTCTGATCTTCAGACAGGCTTTATTTGTACAAGCAAGATATCAACACAGCCAACATTCAAGGGACAGTTCTCCCCTGTAGCCTCAGGAGGGCTGTGGGCCTGTAGGCACCATGATTAGGCTGAATAATGCTGAATCTGAACTCTTGGCCTCCAAACCTTGAGTATAAAGTTCAGTTTTTTACCACCAAGGTTGTACTAATTTGTTAGGGTGCCCCTCCACCCCCCAAAAAAGAATAGAGTTTTAATCTAGATTTTTAAAACTTTAGTAAAACACTAAGGGCTACAATGCTCATACTAGCCTGCCATAAAAGAAGCAAATAAGTCAAATGCATCATTTTTGTTTCCAACAAACCTAAAGGCAGTCCTCTATCACAGGACATGTGATACCCTTGAGGTGTCCAGTCATAATGGTCACTACATATGAACACAAAATTGCCATTTACCCTGTGCTGTGTGAACACAAGTGTTTTAAGTAGTTTATTTCATGTTTACTTTTTAAGTAATACAATCAAATGGTTGTGCTTAAAATGTGGTCTTCCCATGGAGCCATGCTGAATACATTTATTATAATAAATTTCTCAACCTAGAAGGAAAGGCTCAATCTTTTCAGAATCCAGAATAAGAATGTTAAAATTCCTTACAATGCTACAGATGCCAATGTTCTGAAAAGGGCAGTTTGGGTGTTTATGTTCATCACTAATATCACCTAGAAAAAATAAAGGGAAAAGACCTCAAAAATAAGTTTTTAAGTCATCAGTCCATACAAGAATGTTTTCCATTAAAACGTGTGGTGGGAGATTGTTTGTTTTGTTTTGTAAAATATAACTGTTTCAATTGAATTAAGCATTGATTAATATTATCCTGGTATAACATATTATCAAGATTTAAGGATTTGCAAGGTTTAAATTCTTACCTTCAGGCATAGTGTATGTTACTGTGTGGATAATTGCTTTTTTTTTTTTTTTACTCTGAATATGTGTTGCCTATGTGTCTACAAAGTTATAATTAGAGAAAAGCAATGTCTCAGATGCAAATAAAGGTCAATCATTTACTTTAAGTATATTTGAAAAGGAGATACTGAATTGCTTTTTTTAAATATCAAATGCAATATTGAGTATTCATATGTTATTACTGAATACTGACACAGAAATTATATTTTAAAATTAGTTTGCATTCTAACCTAAACATGAAATCAGGAAGTTGGCTGAGTATACTGCTAAATTGCACTTCTGGCACAAAGAAAGGAGTATTCTAAATTCCTAAATATCCTTTCCTTAATTGCATAATAGACATGATTCTATAAAAAGTCTGAATGCTATTAGAGCTCCGTTGCTAGGATGAATTTATTCCAAACTTGTGCATATTTCAAAAATGATTTATGGCAAGTGCTCAGTCAGGATAAATGTAGTGACCACTGCAGGAGGTGTGTCTCCTTCTGAGAGTCTACAAAAAGGCTCCTTCCTTTCATGAACTGCAACTTCAAATTGTTATATTTTGTCACAGCCATAACTTTTGGAAGTTATGGCCACTCATGTCCTCTGCTAAGGTTACATGCAAACTTACTTAAGCAAAGATAATTATCAACAAGCAAAAATAGCACAGATAATGTCATACAAGTTTTAATTTCATATTTGGTATGTCTTTCATCTTTTTAATTATAAATATCCAAATTATTAATTTTAATGTATATTGTCATTTTCTTCTGAGAAAACAGATGTTTTTACATTCTAAAGGATAAGTCACTAAAAAGAAAAATAATTGAGTGACCAGCAACAAATAAATAGTTATCTACAAATTATTCAAATTTAATAGACCTTATTTTCACAGGAGCAGGCTAGACAAAAATTCGGTGGTTTAAAAGTTTATTGGTTACTTCTATGGATACAAGGACAAGTAAGTCTTCATGAATAATCTGCAACTTGAACCTTGGGATTTGAAACTCAGTAGCTTTACTGTTTGAGGTTGGTATATGTGCAGTTTGCTAGGTGTATTCATGTCAGAAACATGATAACCATATCTTTCAAAAAAGAAGTTTTCCAACTCCAGTTAGTAAGATAGAAAATAACATGTTCTCATAAGTGGAGATATGATTCCATGTTTGTTAAAATCCTTAATTCCTCCTAGGGGGGGAAATCTTGTGAAACTATCTCCATTGAGGTAACATCATTGGTGAACAACATTTACAGTCTGGTGACTTCAAGTCTTAGTACTATTGTCCAAAAAAATGAAACAGGTAAAAAGGGTTATAGCAAGAAAACCAAGCTATTCACAGCCCTTGTCAGGGCACAAGAGAATTCTTAACTACATCAGACTCCCCAACTTCTCCTCTTTATCCTCCACATGAATCATCACCCCACCTTTTCAGTGTAATGCTTGGTAAGCTGGATGAAAATCCTGGTTTATGGATTCTTAATACCTTCCAAAGAAAAAAGGTAAAAAGCATGCCTCAGAAGAATGGCATCAAATCTGAAATGCATACAATGATCTGATGTGAAAAGTGGACATCTAATGATGAGTCAAGTTGGAACTACCTCTTATATCTCTTTTCATCCAATAATGCGTAATATATTTGAGGGAGGAAGACTTTTCAAAGGTAACATAATATTTGATTTGTCAGTTGCATCTTGTGAACTTGTTTTATTCACTTACTGCGAAGTTATTTTATGATGTTATGTGAGTGTTGCTCCATTGAGATTTTGAAGGCATTATCTATTTAAATATTATTTAAGGCAACATTAGCATCAGATCTTGAATAGAGAGAGAGAAGGAAACAGTTTAGCCTACACACACACACACACACACACACACACACACACACACACACAAGCTTTCACCAACACATGCACATACACTGTACTCATAGACTTTACATGACATTTATACCCATCCATTCATTTAACATACAGTATAAAAGGAACCTTGTAGAAAAGTAATAAGAATAGTACTAAATATACAAATAGGATTAAAAAAACACGCTGAAATGGTATTTGATAATATTCATAAAATTGAGTTTCAGGTATTGATATAAAAATTGAATATACATTAAGTTAATGGAACTTTAATCCAAGAGCTGAATGTGATCAGGTGCCCATGATTATATTAAAACATAGTAAAGGAAAATGTTCAAAAGAATAAGAGAATACTGATAGAGGTTCAGAAAATAAAACTGTTTAACTTCGGTTGGTGGTGCACACCTCTAACTCTGCTCTTCTGGAGGCTCAGGCAGAAGAATTTCAAATTTATGGGTAGTGGTGCTATACATGTAAGGAGAAAGGGAAATTTTTCCCAAGAGATTTCTGTTGTTTCATTGTGTTGCATAACAGACATGCATTTCCTCCTTGAACAATAGTGATGTATGATAATTATGTTAATCTCATAACTCTGGCTCTTTCCTGGAGAAAACCAAAGTGAGAAAAAATATAGAAAAGTACCTAACAGAATTAACAAACATATCCAAGTGATATAAATCAAATGAGTTATTTTTGTTATGATTTATGATCACTTATAGTATATAGTGTGTGTGTGCGCGCGCGCGCGCGCGTGTGTGTGTGTGTGTGTGTGTGTGTGTGTGTGTGCACTCTATAGTATGTTTCACTTACATATCCTCAAAAGTCTACAAAACAAAACAAAAAATCTTTCTTTAAATGGTTATAATGGAAAAGTTAGAAAAAATTTCATTTCTGGCATTTGTGTTTGTATATATATATCTGTATTCCTGATTTTTGAATGAAAATTGTTTAGAATCAAGAGGGTGTGAATAATCATTGATAGCTCTCAGCAATTGACCTTGAGAAGCTATTGATTCTTTCTGAGCTTCTAATTTTTAGTTTAAAAACAAAATCCCTAGGATTAGTAATTTTTCTTTTATGAAATTTGTAGGGGGTAATTCAAATGACTTCTAACACTTTAATCAATTAAGCTCATTTCATTTTGTTTTCATAAAAAATTATAGTAACTGTCCTGCATTTTAAAAATATGTTTTACCAGAAAACTATTTATTGTTTGCAAAATAAAACCAAAGCATGTAAATATCATTGTAATGATGGGTATGTATAAAATCTGTGATATTGGGTGATAGTTAATGTTTTGGCAAAAATAACCACACGCTTACCTGTTGGTGGAATTATTCCAGGAGACATGAGGCCAGGGACAGAATGTGGCATGATATGAGAGTTCTCTGGGGAGGTGACACTTTGAGTCCTCTTAGGAGGCCTTCCAGGTCTGGAACTGAGACAAACAAACAAAAAATTTTACAATTAAGCTGTTGTCTGACACATCATTTCAAAGTTGTTTCAAGTGGTAACATGGACTGTAAATAAATTTGTTTCAAGGACGGTTGCTTTTGCAGTTAGATGTAATAGACTTCCATCACTAATTAGATTACATGCTGAATTCATTTTCCTCATTGAAGATCAGCCACTCCTGATGCATAATTCATAGCCTGCACCTCGTTACCTGCTTCTTCATATTAATATCTATACACAGTTTGAATTGCCTCGTTTGCATATGCTAAAGTTCTGCATTCAGCCTTCAGCACGAAAATTATGCACTAACTTGTAATAATTATTACAGTCAGCCTGCTATTGATTTATGAGACTTTTAAAAACCAAATATGTGTAGTACTTGTAATGAATGATATTTTAAGGTTCTTCAGGAAATTAAAAGGCAATGGCTGCCTAAGGAAATGTTCTGCTTGTTTGATTTAATACTGCAGTTAGCTGGGAGGTGGGATGAAAGAATGATTCAGACCTATAGCACATTTTTCGATGATATGTTTTATTACTTCGCACTGCTAGCCTGATATCTAGATGATAAATGACAATACATCTCTAATGTGTGAAAAGGTCTTGCAATTTCTTTATTTTTTGTCATTTAAAAGATAAGTCAAGTTATCATTTAACCCTTATTCTATTTAACTGAACAATCCTACCAAGTTGTCCTATTTTTAATATACAAGAGAAAATTGGAAAGGCTTGGGATTATTTGTAGGATATCATTGAGAAACTGCTTATGTAGCATCTTAAATGTGCCCATAGGAAAAATAAAAAAAACATGCTTATTGTTAACACTCCTTATTCTTCACATGCACATTAGGGATGATTAATTTCTTAAGTTACAAAAGCAAATAGAGAGATAAGTATTTTTGTAAGAAAATATCACCAAAAGTGCAGCATTTGTATTCTTTGAGACAAATAAGAATACTTGTGTTCTCATTTTTCCTCAGTATTATAAATGTGCTTTTGACAGGCTCTCCATTATTTATTTGGCCAATATGTGCCTAGATATATAAAAAACATCAGATATATCCATTCTTTGTCTTCAAGCATTTCTATTTTCCTCTGTTGAACTCCCTTGCTTCATCAGAAGATTAAAAAACTTTCTTTCTTTTATTTTATGTAAGTAATATATGTGGTCATTGAGCAAATAATTACTAAGTACCTGCTGTTTTCAAAGCAGTGCACTGTGGAGGCTAATTTGTGGGAGTGAGTTCTTCATCTTCAGGAGCTTATATTCTTGCCAAGAGGGAAGAATCTTTTTCACAAATAACTGTGATGCAATTGTAATGTGCTAGGTCCCATATAAACATTGCAATCTGTGTACTAATAAGAGCATAGTCGCTAGGTGATGAGACTTCAATTTTCAGGAAAGAAAGATGCCAAGGGAAACATTGGAAGAAAATTTCAGTGGATGTTAACTGTGTAGACGAAAAGCACACTTCTCTGATGGAACTGTAGAGCTCATCAGTGTGTAGCATTTCTCTTGTTGAACTGACACAACTCAAATAGCAAGAGAAACACAGATTGAGACTGCTAGACTTATTGCCTAGCATTAGATCCTGGAGACCTTTGGAATGAGAGCAGGAGGCTTATTTGCAACTTTATCTGTCTTGTAAATCAATATGGATACCCTACTGCTTATAGCTGTCTTGTATCTCTCCAGCTACTTATTCTTATTCCTCATTGTGATTCTTCTGGCTTTTTAACTGATCATTTGCTTGGGATCAATGGACAGGCCTCTTGATAGTATCCATTCTCCCTGAGTAAACTCTTCTATTGTCATCACTTAGACACTAGGACTAATAGCTCAACATACATCTACAGCCCAGATCTTCCTCTGGGATGCAGACAGATTGATACCCATCTAGTTGACATTCCTGCTTAGATGTTCTATAATAATCTAAGACTCAGCTTATCCAAATCTGAACTCAGCAACTGCCCTCTTAAAATCTATTTCCCTTCCCCTTGTTCAGCACAAAGTCAACTGACTGACTAAGCCAAGCACCCACACTTTCATACATCCTTTCTTCTTTAGCATGCTTAAATATCATCTCTGTGAAGACATCACTTTATGTCTTTGTCTATGTCCCATTCCTGTTTCAGATCATTCTTCATTTCTTATTTGGTCCACTGTTATAGACTACACAGCTCTCCCAAGACCTACCTCCTACTTGGTCCTATTCTTGAGCCTCGTATATAGATCTCTAAAAAATATTTCAGAGAAATATTTAATATATATTTGATTAAAAATATCTTCCCTATTGAACTCATAATCCATGGCCTTAATACAGACCCTCTAATACTTGGCCCATTCTTCTTTTCAATTTTTACTATTTTATTTCAACATTTGTGAATTATTTTATATTGGGTTCTACTCAATGTCTTACTTTCTTTTTAATTTTTTTCTCTTTTTCTTTTGAAAGAAGGTTACATTATATATCAGAAGCATGACTTTGAACTCATTTCACACATTCCTTAGCCCCCCTACCCTCACAATCTATCTAGGATTACAGATCCTGTACCACCACACTGAGCTGAACAGTGGGAGGCTTGGGTCTCTTATTACTCCATTTTTGCAAAGTTTCCCTCTGTTACTATTCCTATGAAAACACATCCTCCACTCTCTATTCCCTAGTTGAGTCCTCCTCATTTTCTGTGTCACCATTTCAGGCTGCAGGCTCTATGTATGAGGATAGTCCAGAATCAATGGGGATTACGCTATTATCACTTTATCGGTCCTGAATCTGTTTTGCTTCATGGTGGACTAATAAGGATATATATTTGTTAATATGTTCTTCACCCTGGACTTCACAAGTACCTTGCCCTGTCATTTCCAGTGAGCAAAAAGTCTCTAGAAAACAAAAGAAAGAAACACACACACACACACACACACACACACACACACACACACACACACACAATTGGGAATTTGAAGAAAGTCTGAACATATCCAACCTGTACACCTCAACCACAAATAAGAAAAGTATATGTTTGGTGACAGCCATGGAAAAAATAGGAAGGGAAAGGAGAGTTCAAAGATTTGAACTTTTAGCCCTTTGACTTGTTTTGCTTTTAAAGAAAATGAAACTGCTAAGGAGTACTTCATTATTCAGGCCACAGGAGCTGTCCTCACAACTTTCACTTTGGAAGCAAAAGTCAGGCTACCACTAAGTAGGAACACTTTAATTCATGCTGTGATTAGAATAAACCCAGTGGGCTCCTTTCACCACAGATATCTCCTGCCCAATCTATCTATCACATTGCTTCAAATTCCACCAATAGAGATTTATTGCTCTCAGACTAGATGCTTGAAGTTGCTTTAAAGCCTTCCATTAAAATGCAAATACCCTTGGAGGTGGTAACACCCTAAGGCCATCAACTAACACCCTACTGGGGATTACTTAACAATTATGTGAGAAGCCTTGAGACACTGAGGCAAAGAACAGAAGGACTGTTTTTTAAAAGAAGAGCAAAAGATGTAGTTTCCCTAAGTACTAGACAAATGGTTGCCCTCTCTGTGAGTCAGAAAGAAGTTCTACTTCCTTCCTCCTCCTCCTCTTCTTGCTCTTCTTCTTCTTCTTCTTCTTCTTCTTCTTCTTCTTCTTCTTCTTCTTCTTCTTCTTCTTCTTCTTCTTCTTCTTCTTCTCTTCTTGGAAAAGTAGAAAAAATGTATTTGCTTGCAACATTATCATGATACTCCTATTTACAGTAGGGTTCTTTTATTGAGAAGCTTTCATTTTATTCATGGAATATCAAATTAACTTCTGGAGATAATGAATTTCCATACTGCTCTGTGAAAAAAACCTTTCAGTTCTCTGAGAAAGAAACTTTATTGCAAATACTGACTTAATGCTTCAAATCTTTCAACAGAGTTTCAAGGAAATTCCAAGACACCATTTTCTAGGGTAAAGGCCAGAAGGACACATGTTCTTGTCTAAATAGATATAGCTCCATATAGGTTTAATTAATTTACCAGACAGTATAATCTTAATCAAATTACCTAACTGCTTACAACAGCTAATTAAATTACCTTATTGTTAAACAAACACTTGGTATGCTTTGTTGGAGATCAGTTATTCTTGAAAAGAGTAACAAAAACTAAACTGAACAGAGAAAGCAAAACAATTTATAAAATTGCTATTTTGATTGAGTATGTACATTAATGGACTTTACATTTGTCCTAGACTTTACTGCAAAAGAGCAAAGTGGGCCAAAGTATGCTGGGTTGTCCTATATCCAATCAAAAGGAAGACATTATTTAAAGCATTAGCCTTAGTATCTTGGATGAAATTAAAGCCAAAGACTTCCTCCTTGTTTTCCTTAGTTCCACATCTTAGCCAAAGCCCAGACTGGTATTTTCAAAGGAGGGTGATGACTTAGATATGTCCACATCCCCACTTCAAATCCTGAATATTTACAAACACACTCTTTTCTGCAGTTTTGAATAAGAATGTTTACTTTTCAGATGAGTCACTGTGGACATGCTTCCTTCCTTCCCTCTCTCTCTCTCTCCCTCTCTCTCTCTCTCTCTCTCTCTCTCTCTCTCTCTCTCTCTCTCTCTCTCTCTCTTTCTCTCTGTCTCTGTCTCTCATAAAAAAGTTACAGATGCTTCGTTGTCCATTTGTTGCCAGGGCTCCAGGACATAGGGCCTGACTTCAGGCACATTTATGATGTTTATTCAAGGACAGTCAAAATTCAACTTTAGAAAAAGAAGTCAAAATGAAATGCAAATAACTGCATTAAAGGAATGAGAGTCATTGCCAATGCTAGTGGGGGAGGGGACACGGTACAGAGCATTCAGTTACCACACAACCTGGGGCAGCCACCTGCTAATGTCTTTAGCAGCTTTTGGGAAATTTTGGCAACTAATTGTAAAACTGAAAACAGCTATCCAACCCTCACTCTCCAAAAGAAACCAAATCCAACCTGCTTAGAAAGGATCACACCACTCTAACACCCCTTCCTTTAAACAAGAGCCAAAGAATAACCATATGCAAGCAAGGAGATATACATGACGTCGACCTAATGAATGGGAGACACTTCCAACCTCATTTGAGGTAGAAGTTACAGTTAGTTGTATGAATATGAATAAAGGGATTGCAGACAAATATCAGACAGAAAATGAATATTGAGATACACCCTAGAACAAAATTATTTAGGAGTGAAAGTAATCCAATAGGCTAATCTACATGACTTATTTGTCCTCTCCAGTTTATTTACAGAGGAAATACCCTACTATGTGCTGTATTCAAACTTTGAGTAAAATGAGTCTACAGAACAAAGATAAGTGTAGTTATTTATATACTATAGATATAAAGTTTCGTTTAGTAATGCTAATCTTGTGACTTTGAGTATCAGCCTTTATCTTGTTTTTTAGTTACATGAAATAGATAACAATCTGAATTACAAATATTTTCTTTTCTCCAGTTTTTTTCAATTTTAGTTAACTTTCAAATTTGATCCAACATTTGTGCGATGACATTAACAGATAATTATTATCCAAATCTTCAAGTTATATTGGTCAGTATAAGAATTAAGGGCATTCTTCCTTTGCTATAATTTGCCATCCGTATAATATATAACCTGGGGTTTCTTGTATTCTCTGGAGATTGAGTCTTTGTTGACAAATGTCATGTTCTTTATGACAAGGCAAACACGGTTTGGTAGTGTTTAGTAATAAATAAATGCTATAATTTGAATATCAAACAATCCAGTGGGTAGAATATATTCATTTGGAACACTTAATATGAAAAGTGTATTTTTATATTTTTGAAGGTCTCAGTGAAAATCATCTCCCAGGAAATAAGAGGTGTTGAGTTCAGGCTAGTATGTGTTCATATTATCATGCTCGTGAAAAATCAGGATGTACATAAACATAATTTTACTATGCATGTGTGTGTGTGTGTGTGTGTGTGTGTGCGTGTGTGTGTGTGTGTGTGTGTGTTGGTGTGTGCCCTTCCATAGGAATTGGGAATGTGCCTTATGGGACAAAATACTGACCATTTGGAACATGTCATTTCTTTCATATATATCATATATAACCATATATAGTTATAGACATATAAACATCTGTTTATATATGTGGTCTACACACAAGTATGATGTTTGAGGATATATGTTTGCAATATGTACAATGGCAGAGGAAAAACTTAAGTATCCTGTTCTAGCATTCTATACTTATTCTCCTGACAGAGTCTCCCACTGACCTGAATTTAAACCAGGGCCAACAAGCCCCAGCTACATTTGTGTCTTCACGGGACACAGTGCTGTTATTTACTTGGCATCATAATCAGCTGTGTAGTTAAACATACTAACCTTCTTAATCTCTTTATACATTTTTCCCCATAAGTTTCCAGGATGTAGAGGAATTTGTTTTCAGGACATTCTTTTTGCAATGACATTCAAAGACGTAATGGAATGCCCTGATGGACAAATCCTAAAATGATAGCGAACTGTTGTAAGTTGCTATTTTGAAGTATGGAGATCGGTCATTGCTTGATTAGATTAGGTTCTCTTAGAAGTCCTGTTATATATCAAAACTATTTTGCAAAATTTACAATTCATGTTAAAATATTCCAATTAAAATATAGAATGTTTAATTCAATCCAGTGCAAGGTTTGGACTCCATAGCAACAGTGAAAGATTTTTGTGGTTTTTTTTTTTTTGTGTGTGTGTGTGTTTCAATTTTTCTATTTAAATGACCAGCTCTTCTCCACTGTTACTGTAGCCATGATTGTTTTTCTTTTTAAACACAGAGCATGTGTGCACTGTTGTATTTCAATAGTGCCTTATTCACACACCCACAGAAGAGCTGGAGATGGCCATCATTCTGTTCTCATATCATTTTTAACTTGACTCACTTTCAAACACCAAACTATTCTCTTTGGCAGATGGCATTTCCAACATTTTAAAGGTCCATTCTACAAACAGTTTTATTTTTATTTTGATATGTATATTAAGTAAGAAAATATGACAATTCTGGTTTTGTTTCTATCAAGCATGCTGTTGAATTCACTGTGTTATCTACATTTTTATATTCTTATAAAATATTTTAGATGGGTTATAATGCTATATTATAGTAATTGCTATTGTATTCTAAAATTCTTAATTAAACCCTAGGTGTTATATAAGCTAGGCAACTATTTTACCATGGAGTTGCATCCCCAGTGACACCATTATCTCTGATGGTTTTGGTAAGGATATTGGCACATAGAGGAAGGAAGTAAAGGCCTTATCTAGTATCATGTAACAAAATATAACAGATCTAAGTTGTATATGAAGATCACAAGTCATCAGAAAACACACACTGAGCTTCTCATAATAATACAGCTATGTTTGTTAATTATTTAAAAATATTAATTGAACATATCAGTGTACTTGAACTCATGGTGTCATTGGGAATAATTGTAAGTTACTGACCCTGATTTCAAGGAGCTCTCCATTTATTTTGGGAAGCAAATAGTAAATAAATGGACACTAAATGTTCCAAATTGATATCCTGGAGCATCACAGTAGGGGTTTTAAAGAAACATGAGTACACAAAAAGCAGAAGCTAATAAATAAAGATGTTGAAGACAGACGCTGAGGAAGGGATCAGTGAAAGAATATATCCAGCTCATTAACACAAGCATTTCCACAGTAACATTAGTACTCCAACCCATGATTCACAGATCTTAAGACTGGAAGTATCAAGCAGCCTTGTACATGATGACTCTCAAACTGTTCTGTAGGTCATGGCTTATCCATGTTCTTTCCATACTTCTAGTCTTGAGAGATATGCCCAAAGCATTGGATTATTTGGTCAAGTAAATGTACTTTAAATGTGCCTTTGTTCTGGTGTTCTGTTTAAAAGGAATTAGAAAGAATATGAGCTGATATATTAAAATCAACTCTATAAATGAAATTTAAACATAACACAATTATTTCTTTCTTGAAACCTGTATTTCAAGGTTTTGCTATTATAGAAATCTCTATCCAAAACAAAGAAATGCAATAATTATTTGATTCAGTTTAATTTCAGTTTTTATTCTATGATGGTATAATGTCTTGCTCAGAATCAAGATTGTTATGGTAATTTTTGAGCAAATATTTTAAATGAATTATAGGAAAGGAGGGAAGAAAATTACTTTTAAAGAAAGGTGAAAAAACTAGTACCCATTAAATGAGAACTCATAAAAGCATGGCTGCCTGCTTATGACTATATTGACAAGATGGTTGATTCAGCGTAAAATTCATGTCTTCACCCTCAACTGTCATGTTATTATTATTCTACTTTGGAGAAATATGTGCAAAAGTTATTTCCTAGTGAAATCTTAAATAAAAGAAGAAAAATTATGCCACTTCCAGTGTGTGTTGCATGAAGAGTTGTTCAAGAAGTGAAACTTTGAAACAGATTTCAGTGCTAATTGTAGATTGCAGTGCCCTCTCATCTTACATGAGGATTCCTGTGCTACCTATTACCATAGCATGATAGTAAGGAATGGAAAACTATGTTGTTCCCATAATGTATAGATTTAATAACATGCTTAATTAATTAGCTGGCATGGCAGATGCAAAACCACCAAACATTCTATTAATATGACTGGTATTAATTGAAATCTATTTAATTCTCTCAGAGAGTGCATTCCTTAATGAAAGGCATTTTACTACTAATATTATGTACTATCAGAAATTATGAAGTAAAATTCTTGTCTCACAGATTTGGGAAAGACATTGGCAATTGTTGTTCCAAAGCGTAAATAGGCATTGCTTTAATGTGGACATTTTCTTACCCTGAAATAAAGGGCATGGGCTGCTTTTAAAATTCTAATCATTATGTTAAGTTCTATGGTATTTGTGTGTATATATTTATTACTTATTCTGTGCATTATGCTCTAAAGTAATGAGAAGTGAGTTAGTTGACTAGAGCATAACAGCTTGACTGCAGTCACGACATATTTTTAGAAACCAGAAATATTTTAAGGTCTTACTTTCAACAAACTTCTAAGATTGAAGTATTATCTTTCCTAGGTATAAACTATAATAACTGAGCCAAATAGGTATTATAATTTTTTGTGTAAAATGATGGTTTTGTAATTATTATTTCTACTAAATAAAATGATTCTTTCTTGTTTTTTTTTTTTTCAGCTTTTTGAGACAGGGTTTCTCTGTGTAACAGCCCTGGCTGTCCTGGAACTTGCTTTGTACACCAGGCTATATTTGAACTCACAGAGATCCACCTGACTCTGTACCTGAATGCTGGGTTTACAAGCCTGCACCACAACTGCCTGGATAAAATACTTCTTGAGAAAGCCTGGCACTCAATATTATATTAGAGAATTCTAGGGGAAACAGTGTTGTTGAATTTTGATTTCACAAGTTAAAAATGGAAATGTCTTTGCAGTCAGTGTTTCTGGCTGACGAATTTGTCAATGCATTGTTGAATTTGAAAAATAGGTTTCTATCTTAGTTCAACAAATTAGACTCAAAAAAAAAAACATAAATCTGATGACTTGCTCCATATACATTCTCATTCAAACATCTGCACATAAACAAATACTAGAAAGCAACTGGACAAACAGGCACATCCTAGATACTACAGCAGAAAAAGAATACACAGCTAAAAAGTCTTCATATTTGATGACATAGCATATGCCACAAGGACACAAATGTGTTTGAGTGTTCAACTTCAGGTAAAGAAAAGAAACAAAAGCATTTATTATGAAACATAAGTATGGTGTTGACAGATGGAGGGCAGGTGAGGCAAAGATATTGTAGATCTCAAATGCCACACTCAAGGTTTCCAATGCAAAAAGTTTACTCCAGGAATAATTAATTTTTAAGGCCTCAACAATATTCCATATACACATAAATACTGAAGGCACTTTCTAAGTCTCTCTCTCCCCC